AGAATCAGCCATCTACACCTGCTCAAATGCCTCCTTCTCAAAACAACCACCCTTAAATGCCTCCCCATCCTAAAACTACCCATCATCAAACTGCTTCACCGCCTCAAAACTAGAATCAAAGCCAGAACCAAAATGCATTAAACCCTAAGAATTCTCACCACCACCAAAATCAAAATACCAATGCTCAGACTTATCCACAAAACGACCAAACCACCCAGATTACCCAAAGTCCTTCCGTGGCTCCACCCGTACCTAAAAGAACAACTTTCTAGATTCCCATCCCAATTGAGAAGGACGTGTATGGTTCTGAGATGGACCATTACAAGGAACATTAAAGATAATATAGGGCACAGGAAGAGGAAAAGGTGGACATAAAAGAAGATATCAACAAAGCCATAATAGAGCTCCAATGCATCCATGATTTCACCGTTCTTAATTATGAAGATTTGTGCATTTATCCAAATCTGGACATTCCTGAAGGTTAAAAATCCCCATGTTTGATACTTTTGGAGGAGTGGAAAATCCTATGGCTCATCTATGATCTTACTGCGATCAACTCGTGGGAGTTGGTAGGGATGAAGCTCTTATGATACGGCTTTTAAGCCAAAGTCTGTGCGGGGAGGCTCTGGAATGATTCACCTCCAATGGCTTTATTGATCTGTTTGCTACAATGTTGAAATTGTTCATGATCGACACTCTTTTTGAAAAGATGAAGCAGAAATCCACTGAGAGCTACAGAGTGTTTGCCTATAGGTGGAGATAGGAATCAGCCAGGGTAAGGCTGCCTATGTCTGAGAAAGAAATAGTGGAAGTGTTTGTGTGAGTGCAAGATCTTGAATTTTATCATAGAATCATGTTGCTCGTTGGAGGAAAATTCTTTGAGATAGTCAATGTTTGTGAGACTCTCGAAGATGGTTTAAAAATAGGGAAAATAGCCGATTTTGCCGCATCGCCCGGATTGTTGGGATTGTTAAAGAAAAAGAGAAGAAATTATTGTTATCTCATATAAGGGGAAGAAAACTCCCAGAAGATCATCATCCTCCCAAAGTCGTCCCCGACTTTCTTATAACTCCTACCAAGCTTGCTACACACAGGCTATTAATCCAAAATCCTTCTCCAGTCTATAAAAATACTACCTCCACCTATCAAAATGCCTCCTCTCCAAATCACCAATGTCCATCCCCCGTATATCAAAATCCTTCCCCGCTTTCCAAAATTCCACCCCTTCACTACCAAAATATCGCTCCCAACTTTGCCAATATGCAGTCGAGCTATAGAGCACCCCCTCCTGTTTATCAATTCCAAGCTCCACTATACGAAAATCCCCCTCCAATTCCCAAGATCTATTGCCAAACTACAAAACTAATACCAATCCCAGATATCAAACTCCCCATCCCAATAATAGAAATTATAACCAGATGCCTCCTCCAAAGGGCAGTTATGATCCACCATGACCTAGATTCAAGAAGAGGCCTCCCAGAACTTTAAAGCTCTCACTGAAAGTCGAACAAAGTTGTACTAGTGACTAGCTACGACCAGATATATCCATCCAGTGAGACCCTAATCGATAGATACAAGTTCTAAATTATATATGTCTGATCAAAGGTGTGCTTATCATTCCAACAGTATTGGACATGATAGTGAGGACTTTATCAACCTCAAGCACAAAATTCAGACATGATAGACATAAAGGTGGTCTCTTTACAACCAGCCGTGCCTAATGTCAACACCAACCCTTTCCCGAATCATGGAGGCGGAAATATTAATATGATAGCGATAGATGATGAGTGGTGTGTGACCAAGATGATATCTCCATTTATTCATGAGGGGTTAGAAAAGGTCGTGGACTCATTGAATGTCAAGGAGAAAAAAAGAGTTCGTGATCCTGACACCCACAAAGGTTGTTGCGTTGGTGCCATCAGAGACTCTTGTCAGGCCAAAATTTGTTATTGGAATTGTTTCTGCTCAGGTTATGACCCATTCTGGGAGGTGTTACACTCCCGAAGAGTTGGCTCTTGGATGACAAAAGAAGATCAGGGTAAAAGGCTGATAATTGAAGGCGAAGTAGAGTAATTTTGGAGAAAGATGCAGCCAAAAGATTATTCTATTGTTAAACATTTGAAGAAGATTCCAGCCCAGATTTTTGTGTAGGCCTTGCTGATGTGATACCAATTGCAAAGATATTTACTGAAGGCTCTTGATGATAAATATGTGCCCTTGGGTACAAGCAACGATAATGTGGCTTCTATGATCAATCAAGTTATCCAAGGGCATCAGATTAGCTTTTGTGAAGATGAGTTGCCTTTTGAGGAAAGGTCACACAGCAAGGAATTGCACATCACTGCGAAAAGGTCATAAACCGTGTCTTGATGGATGACTGATCTGATCTGAACATTTGCCCGTTGTCGAGACTTAGGGAGCTAAGGTTTGACTAGGGAAAGCTGGAACAAAACCAAGTTAATGTAAGAGCCTTCGACGGAGAACAGAGAGATACGTTGGGAGGAGTGAATTTGATCATCCAAATAGGTCTAGTAGAATTCAGTGCACTGTTTTAAGTCATAGACATCGATACCATCTATAACCTTCTTCAGGGAAGGCCTTTCATCCATAAGGCTGTAGTTGTGCCTTCTACTCTTCATTAGATAATGAAACTCATTTGGAAGGACGAATAACTGGTTATTCACGGCAAAGGGAGTCATCCTATAGATAGATGCCCATTGTTAATGAAGTTTCGCAAGGCACTGATTTCTACATGGTGGAGCTGGTAAATGCCACCATTGATGATTTGTCCCTACAACCTCCTGTGCCCACACTGTACAAGATGATAGCCACTGTGCTGTTGCAGAATGGGTTTGTAATAGGTTTCGGATTGGGAAGGAATTTTCAAGGGACTATTGAGCCTATTCTAGTCCCCGTCAAAGGAGCTAGATACGGTTTGGGGTACACCTTGGTAGATGATTATATGAAGATGAAGAAGAGCAGTGACCAAGCATTGGCTATGCCAATCCCTCATCTATATCAATCATTTGTAGTCCGGGAGTATGCCAATCTTGACGACCTTGTGAAGGAATCTGTGGCCTTTTCAAGGAGATCGATGCTGTTATTGAAGAGGATGTAGAGCTATTCGGTATCCATCATGCTGATCCTAGAGAGATGCTGTAGAATTTGACCTCCATGTCGATTATGATTCCCCGAATTCCTTGGTAGAAGGGCATCATTTATGTATATTTAAATCGGTGGCAGTCCGGAAGAGTCACGAGCACCACCATTTTGCATTTTCCTTAATTCCTTGAATTTTAAAATTCCCCTGTGATGTTTGAAAAAGGCAACATTGCTTTTTGACGTAGCCAAAGTTTTCATTATTTCCCAATTTGAATGAAAGCCTCTTTTATTGAAATTTTTTTTATTTACTCATCTACTATACTTTGCTTTTCTAACTTTTTCTATTTATGATTTCAGTATTGTAATTTTTAAACTTTCCGATGTGATGTCATGTCACGAGCTGAATGAACAGAATGAGGCAGGTGATGACGAGGTTGATAAATACGAAGATGAAATTGAGGCACCATAATATGTTGCTGAAGAGTTTCTGCATTTCGAAAATAAGCATAAGACGAATTTAGAAGAAATTTAAAGCATAAATCTTGGATACAAAGAGTGTGTCAAAAAAAAGTCAAGATTAGCGTTCACTTGAATGAAGATCAAAGAAAGGGCATGATTCATTTACTTATCGAGTACCTTAATGTGTATGTCTTGTAAGTTCGCGACATGCTAGGGTTGAGTACCAATGTCGTGTCTCACAAATTGCAGATTAATCTAGGGTTTAGTCAGGGGAAGAAGAAGGCTCAGAAGTTCAAGCTTGAATTGAGTTTAAAGATCAAGGAAGATATCACCAAGAAGATCGAGTCTAAATTGGTGGAAGTAATGCATTACCCGACTTGGTTGGACAATGTTGTTCCGATCGCCACGAAAGATGGGAAGATTAGAATTTGTGTCGACTACAAGGAAATCAATAATGCCAGTCCTAAGGATAATTTTCCATTGCAGAACATTCATATTTTTATTGATAACTATGCTAAGAATGAAATGTAATCATTTGTTGATTGTTACACAGGCTATCATCACATTTTGATGGACGAGGAAATGTAGAAAAGACAGCTTTTATTATACCTTGGGGTGTATATTATTACAAAGTGATGCCATTTGACCTGAAGAATGTCGGTGCTAACTACATGAGGGCTATGATGACCATATTTCATGATATGATTCATAAGGAGATTTAGATGTATGTGGATGATGTAATAATCAAGTCCCGTGAGAGTTCAGACCACCTGACAAATTTGAAGAAGTTCTTTGATCATCTGCATTAGTATAAATTGAAGTTAAATCCCGCCAAATGTGCTATTGTGTTGATAGCCGGCAAGTTGTTGTGGTTCATAGTAAGTAGAAGGGGTATCGTTCTTGATACTTCCAAGATTAAGGCAATTCAAGAGTTACCTCATCCAAATACTAAGAAGGAGGTGATGAATTTCTTACGGAGGTTGAACTACAACACTTGATTCATAGATAAATAATGTGGTGTGTGAGCCTATATTCAAGTTGTTGAAGAAGGACGCTTTGACAAAGTGGATTGAAGAGTGTCAGACTGCTTTTGATACTATTAAGAACTATTTGTCCAATCCACCGATATTGGTTTCTCCGCGAGAAGGGAGTCCATTGTTACTATATTTGTTCGTCTCAGATAATGCATTCAGATGCATACTTGGTCAACACGATGAGACAGGAAAGAAGGAAAGAGTTAACTCTTACATAAGCAAGAATTTTACTCCATACGAGTCCCGCTAAACCCTATTGGAGAGAACATGTTGGGCTTTGACTTGGCTTTCCTAGAAGTTGAGACATTATTTGTCTTCTTATACTACATACCTAACTTCAAGAATAGACCCGCTGAAGTATATTTTCCAGAAGGCGATGCCGACCAGAAATTTAGCTAAGTGGTAATGCTGTTGAGTGAATTTGATATTGTGTATGTGACTCAGAAGGCGATAAAGGAACAGGCCTTGGTTGATCATCTTATAGAAAATCCTGTTGATGAAGAGTACAAACCGCTCAAGAAGTATTTCCACGATGAAAAAGTATCGTTTGTGGGTGAAGATATTTCTGAAATATATCTAGGCTGGCGATTATTCTTTGATGGAGCCACAAATCACCAAGGTAAAGCTATTGGAGCGGTCTTAGTGTCAGAATCTGGTCAACACTATTCCATGGAAGATAAGATCTGATTTAATTGCATAAACAACATGGCTTAATATGAGGCCTTTATTCTTGGTTTGAAATTGGTCATTAACATGAATGTCAACGAATTGCTGGTTATTGGAGATTCAGATTTGTTGATTCATCAAGTTCTAGTATAATGGGTTGTGAAGAACACAAATATTATACCTTATGTGCATTATGTACAGAAATTATTCAAAAGATTTCATAAGATCGAGTTCAGACATACCCCAGAATACATAATGAGTTGGATGATGCTCTTTCAACAATTGCTTTAATGATTAAGCATCCAAATACTAAATATATTGATCCCTTGGACATAGAGCTGAAAGAACATCCAGTCCATTGTTCCCATGTTGAAGCAAAATCTGACGATTTGCAATGGTATTTTCATATAAAGAAGTATTTAGAAACTGGAAGTTATCCTAAGGACGCAACATCTAACCAGAAGAAGTCAATACGCCTTATGACTCTCAATTTCTTTCTAAGTAGATAAATCCTTATAGGAGGACTCCAAATTTGGGTATTCTCAGATGTGTCGATGTTGTTGAAGCTGTGAACCTTATTGAATAGATACATGCTCGAGTTTGTTGCACACATATGAATGGACTCACTTTGGCAAGTATGATCCCGCGAGCCGGTTATTTCTTGATGACTATGGATCGTGATTGTTGCAAGTTTGTGCTGAGATGTCATAAATGTCAAATGAACAATCATTTGATTCGAGTGCCTCCTCACAAACTCATTGCCATGAGTTCACCCTGGCCATTTTTAGCGTGGGTTATTGATGTCATCGGTCCAATAGAGCCAGCCGCTTCTAACGGACACATATTTATTTTGGTTACCATTGATTATTTTACCAAGTGGGTGGAAGCAGCTTCTTACAAGTTAGTAACCAAGAAAATTGTAGCTGATTTTGTTCGCAACAATCTGATATGCTGATTTGGAGTGCCAGAATCCATCATTACTGATAATGGTACAAATCGCAACAGTCAATTGATGAGAGATATATGTGAGAAATTTAAGATTACTCACCGAAACTCAACTGCTTATCATCCTCAAATGAATGGAGTTGTAAAGGCCGCCAATAAGAACATCAAGAAGATTCCGAGGAAAATGATCGACAATCATCGAGGTTGGCATGAGATGTTGCCATACGCTTTATTGGGTTTCAGAACTACCGTCATAACATCGATTGGAGCTACTCCATATTTGCTAGTATATGGAACAGAAACAGTCATGCCTGCTGAAGTCGAGATACCATCCTTGAGAATTATCCAAGAAGATGGAGTTAATATATGTTGAATGGGTGAGAAAACAGATTGATCAGTTAACCTTGATTGTTCAAAAGATAATGGTCGCTGTCTTTCATTGTCAGTTGTATCAAACATAGAATGATTTGTGCTTTCCACAAGAGAATCAGAGCCAGAATTTTTGAGATCGGTTAATTGGTACTTAAGCGCATTTTATCTCATCAGGATGAGTACAAAGGGAAATTTTCACTGATTGGCAAGGGACTTACATTGTTTGCAAGGTATTATCTGGAGGTGCTTTGGTCCTGTCAGAGATGGATGGCACCGCATGGCCAAAACCGATCAACTCGGATGTTTTCAAGAGATATTACGTATGAAGCTTCAGTATATATATTTGTTATTTCCATATAATCGTCCTATCTACTTCTATTTACTTTGTTTAAAATTTTATCCCTTCTTGTGATGAACTACGTTTGACCTAAATTATCAAGAATGAGATACATAGGCGGCCTATGTTGGCCTCGGTCATCATATTTATCCCTTTTTAATATTTCTTTGTATTTGAACTACGTTCGACCTGAATTATCAAGAATGAGATATGTAGGCGGCCTATGTAGGCCTCAGTCGATTTTCTTTGTAAATTTCTTATTTTGTTAACCATTGAGGGGGAACTACGTTTGACCTAATTTCTGCTTCAACGGGATACGTAGGCGCCACAAGGGTTCGGTCATATTTCCCACAATATTTGTATTCATCTTTACAATGAAAACAGGGATAGAATTTTTGAGAGGGTCTCAAAAATTCTCGAGAAGAAGATTTTTCCTCAATAAGCCAAGACTGAAGTTATTTCTAGATTTGAAATCGTGATAAATTTTTTGAAAGGATCTCAAAAAAAACCTGTGATTTACTCATCAGATGTTAAAGATATGTTGAAACATGAAATCAGGATAGAAATTTTTAGGATCACCTCAAAATTTAAACTTGATTTTATGAGCATTCTGCAGTGACTTTGAATACTCCTTAGCGAATAATCAGATATAACTCCAAGTATCAGGCTCAAAGAAGTTCGCTAAGCCTAACCAGACATGACATCGTCAGTGACCTTTTTCCAAATACTATATCTCAAAAATTTATTTTCTTAAAAATTTTCTTTTATGATTCATTTGTTTTGGCATAAAATATTTTTTCTTACATATCAAGAATCGGGAGATCAGGAAGGTCAACCGGTGATAGCAGGACAAGGAGCAAACAAGTGAAGAATCGACACAGATTAGTCTGTTTTAAAACTAACAAATTTTCTGTGGATGCAGATTTATAGTATTATTCAGAAATCATCAAATTTCACTGATTTTACGAATATGGGAAGTCAAGGGGGGTAAAAATCTCTTCCCCAAAATCTATGATTATTCTACGGATGCAAGACTTATTTTATATTGAACATATCGTAGACTTGAGAGTGTTACGTTACTTTGATTCTCAGCAACATAAAATATAAGGAATGTCTAGCTAGAATCAAAGATGAATCAAGAAAAAATCTCAAGAAAGAGTTTACGATTTCTGTAAAGGATATCATCTGCATCATATTATCATATATGATATTATTACTATCCGGAGAGAATATTCATTTTATTGTCGATAAAGACAACACAATACCCGTAAGGGCCATTTATTTTATTATTGATCAAGAGATACACTATCTGGAAACTCATTTTACCGTTATTGTCAACTGAGACGATATGATTATCCATAAAACACCCAGAAGATCACTATTGTGGTCGATTGAAGCACTATCTTCATTTGGTACAATGGAGGACATCGTGAGTAAATATTCATGCATCGTGAATAATCATACATTGCGAGTGAATATTCATGCATCACGGAATATCATGCATTGCGAGTCAATATTCATGTATCGCAGAAGAGCATGCATCGCGAGTCAATATTTATGTATCGCTAAAGATCATGCGTTGCGAATCAATATTCATGCATCGCGGAAGATCATGCACCGCGAGTCAATATTAATGCATTGTGGGTCAATGTTCATGCAATGCGAGTCAACATTCATGCATCGTAGAAGATCATGCATCGCGAGTTAATACTCATGCATCACGAGAAGATATTCATTCCTCGCAGAAATTTATGCATCGCGAGACTATTATCATGCCTCACAGAAAGTTATGAATCACGAGAAGATAGTCATGCCTCGTAGAAATTTATTCATCGCGGAAAAATATTCATGTACTGCAAGAAATCACGCATTGCAGAAAAATATTCATGTCCCACAAGAAATGATGCACTGTCATAGATGGAAATCGTGCATCTCAAGAGAAGTATTTACCCATCGACATCAATTGGATACTTTTATATTGACAATAGTAAACATCAAGTAGAGCATCGAAGACAACATGAAGAGAAATATCAGCATCGCATCAACTTTCATTTATGTTGACATCAAATGAAGAGTATATTAAAGATTATATTGCAAACATAAGACAAAACTTTATTTGCTTTACAGCAAACTCGATCGGGTTGCTATCACAGGTTGAAGGAGAGAAGCTATGTTTTAACACAGTAAAAGAAACTATATCCCATTTGAATTGCATTTTTATGCTGACGAGTTTTATCTCAGCCTTTTTCGAGAGCATCCGAAAGGATGAATTCTCCAAAATATAACCACAGGTACATACAACATAAATAAGGATGCAGCACAACGTGGAACTTTTCGTAGTAGCAAACTGAGACACAGTCCAAAGAGGAGTGTCAAACTCTTAGGACGCTAGCAGAGAAGCGATTTCATTCACAATCGTACCAGACCCCTATCAGAAGGCATGTGGTTTTATTCTTTAGATTTTTTCAGTATCACTTTCGCATCCGGAGTTGGTGTCTACCGGAGGCAAATTTCCAATATAAGTGACAATGCGCCAAGAACATTGAGAATTATATCCGTGTAAGTTCTTAATTATGGGTGTGAACCACATTCATGTTTAATAGGTTGCAACCCTATTTTTCATGCACAACTTAATTTATCACTTGTCCAGAACAAAGGTTATCTAGCATAATAGATTTCCTTTCCAACCGATCGACTCGAACTACAAACAACCTGATTCCTGAGGCTTAAGGATATGTAGGAAGACTCAACGTTGAAAACTCGACTATACTCCAACATTCTCTCTTAAATTCTATTCTCGAGCATTTTGATCCCTTCATAATTCGGTATTGAGATGGCTTTGCACTCTTACGAAATCGTGTGTTAAATCGAGCATATAAAACTACAAGTGGACTAAATTCTTATATAGCTTGAGATATGTAGGAAACATATTTCCTAGGTTCAGCTATAATTCCTAAAATCCGTACAAAATCCCCTTTGCAGAAGATGAACATGTGGTCAGCCAAAATTGGATCGGTCAATTTCATTTTCCTCGAATTTCTGGCATCAATCCAAGAAAAATGAGAGACGGTTATTGACACCTAATTTTCACCCTCGACAAAATGAATTAATTATCAAGCTTCCTAATTCCAAATGATTTAAAATAATTAGATTTTATAAAGCTTATAATGTTTAAGTTATGTTAAATTAATTTCATAATATATTTTATTTGTATAATTACGTATACGATTAGTTTATTTTATAATTATTTGAATTTCATCTCAAAAAAACCTATTTTCCTTTGTTTGAATATTTTAATGATTAGTTTGGTTATATATTAGTTGAAATTTTGTTTGAACTAATTGTTTTATAGTTATTCCGATTATTTTATTCCATTGAGAAGCTTATTTAATTAATTTTTACTAATTTATCTTGTCTAATTACCAAATAACCTTATATAGTCTTAATCCCTTTGGATAAACCAATTTGGGTCGGTTTTTGATACAAAATTTCACCCCAATTCCTAGCCCAAATCAGCTGACTCAATTCTAAAAATTACCAGCCCAATTCCCACAGCTAGCTCTCACCCTTATACCATCTGACCCGATTCCAATACCCATTTATAAATCAACCCTCTTTAACTTTTCCGTTCTCTCCCTCACGCATGAAGAACCCAGGGAAATGGAGTGTGCAGACCAGTATGTCTCCACCTCTGTCACGCGCGGAGGGATTAGACCCACAATTTTTCACCTTGAGCCAAACGCGATGCGAATCGCATCGCGGAACCTTGCTCGTCCTTACACGTGAAGATGTGCGATAAATCAAACTGAAAGGATGAGAGATTGATCACACTCGTCCGCGTCCCTTCCATCTTTTGGGATATTTGCCAGAATATGGGATAATCAGGGATATCCAGCCAGTCTCTCATCCTAGGGGAGAGATTTTTGAATTGAGATTTGACTGGAGGAATCTCGATTCTACCATTTTCCCTCCAAATTTCGTACCCTAATTTCTGCGTATAAAAAATTTGGTGGAGGGGGAGGGAAATACAAATTTTTTTACAATGAGTTTTAGTGAAATAAAAGTCTTTAGGAATAAAAAATTCTTTTGAGAGAAGGCAGAGAGAACAATATAGAGAAGGATATAGTGATATGATCGAAGATAATAAATTTTTGTTTCATCGGAGTGCCAAGATTCCTATTTTGTTTTTGCATCATTTTCGCTCAGTTTTAGTAGAGATTCGAGTTTTCATTGTGAAGGCGTCGTTTTCTGCTCGCTACTCTCCAGTTCAGCAGCAATGTAAAGGGTAATACTTTTTCCTTTTTTAGTTTTCTTCTCATTTTCTATTTACATCTCTATGTGATTTGTTTGATTTTTGGAGAGCTTTGTTACATGTCTATTTTCTGATAGTCGCAATTGGCTTATTGATGGTTCGGTGTGTATGTGTTCTTCTTTGTAGTTTCTATAGATATAACCAGTCTATCGAGTTACAAGTTTCATGAGTATGTTCTTAGTTATAGTCTCTCTAATTCTTGTCTTCTAGTTTACAGCAATTTTCTTTCTTGTGTGTCGATTTGGTTATGTAGAATCTCTTCACATTGCATGTTGAATTATTATCCTCGAAAGCTCCTTCTTTTGATTCTATTTTATTTTACGCATGAAAAAATATATTTAATAAAAGTCAA